AGCTTTGTGTGTTATTGTGCATTTCTGGTAAAACCCGTTTTTGGAACTGCAACTCCCAGAGGCTTCCTGAACTCAATGTTGTGCCTTGTACCATGCAGATAAGCTGCTCGCTCCCCCAGCAGCGGACAGCGACGGCGAGAGCGACGGCTCAGACCGTGTCCCAGTGCCCAACTTTCAGAACTCCTTCAGTCAGGCTTTAGGGAAGGCACTTATGCAGTTGGACAGTGGTCCAGTTTCTTCTCCACAACCTGTGGTTGAACCAGGTCAGGAACCTCTGATCCCTCACATCTGCTTAGCCGAAGCCTGATATTTCTGACTAGACTCATTGTTTGTTCAGAGACGATCACACGCTCACTCCCGTCTGGGACTTTTTCTCTTTCAGATGAAAAAGGAGGAAAAAAGAAGAAGAAAAAGCAGAAGCTTCTGTTCAGCACATCCATGGTTCACACAAAGTAGACAACACTGAAGTCCATTTAATCATATTGTTTCTCCCCCACTGCTTGTGTTTTCAGTTTCACGCAGATCTTTCTGGAACTATAAGCTATGGAAAAGGATTTGAGTTCATGCTGCTTCAAACATTGTTCCACTGGCTTCATCACCTGTTCGAGCTGTTTGTCTTTCCATCGGTTTAACTTGCATTTCTGTTGTACAACAAGGCCAAAGCTTTGCACCATCATGCTCGTGTCACAATGAAAGCCTTATGAGTCCATTTCAGTTAACATTCTAAGTATTACACATGCTTCAGGCTTATGTAAGTTCCATGTACTTGAGTGCATCATGGGGTCTATTGTAGGAAACTGCCCCATAGTGTTGCGTCTTTGTCCTTGTTCATGGCATTAACATGTGTTTTTGGTGATCCAATCACAAGTTGGCTGCCTCAGTATGTGTGTTCACACATGCGGTGCTAAGAGTGCAACGTGTACCCAAGATGCATGCATGTGCAAGCCATTAGACCCATTACTAATATAGACAGGGTAATTTGAGGGTGCTTCATACTAGAATAGCAGTCAGCCAGCTGCAGGTACGTTACACCTTTAAAACTTTCCAGGATACTCAGCACCTACACATTATCAGTCTGGAACTTCAATACAGAAGGCAGCAAGTGAGTAAATCTTTCAGTGTTTATCACAGGTCAGTCTTGGGCTAGCTCTTCATATGTATAGATTTGTTGGATTGCCAGAGTCAAAGCCCTAGTATTTGGTAATGCCAACATTATGCCTACACATTAAGTTCTAATGTCAGGAAGTGAAAACACAGTATTGTGTAAAAGATATTAGTTCTGTAGGTTCAACAGGACTCTTGATATATTCTGCCTGGATAAACATGAATAGCACTTTTCTTGTCATTCAGTTTCTTCTTAATTTCATCTTCTGTTGTAGGATGTTTACTCACTTTTAACATTATTTCCCCAACTTTTTTTTCAGTGTTGGAAATGTGTGAAGTTAGAGAATTACTGGCTTAATGAGTGCTGGTGAAATGAGAACAAGTGGATTTGATTTTTTTTTTCCGAGGGTTCTTTAATTCACCTTTAATTTTGTGCAAGTTTATAGACTGGTAAGCATAACTAGTCTGTTGCAAATAATAATAAAAAAGATGCACAATCAAAGAACTGGTTGTTTGCTACACTTCTTTACCCATGTCTGGCAAAGTGAAACTCTGAAGGTGACTATCAAATTAGGTCAGTTCACACGATCTTATTAACGCAGCACCTTTTTTCTCCACAAGAGGGCAGTCTTAGTCCACCTGATCTGTGTAATAAAATTCAAGTTATTTCAGACACTGTTTTTGTATACTGACTGCAGTCAAAGCTTGGTTAAGAATGTAGTCTGAGATCAAATTAATGCATCTGAAGTTCATGAATTATGCAGATTTCTTTATTCAAATAGGTGTCGCCATTCAAACAAAATAGCCAGTCAGCCTTTAAAAAACAAACAAACAAACTGATGGTTTGTGCTTTTAAACATGGGAATGGGTACAATAATGCCATAAAGTTGGGATGGAATAATATTTGCCCGAGCATATCCTATACTCAGGTTCGTATCCAGTTAAAGGACGTTAAGTTATCCACATTCATCCCGGAAGTTGAAGTAATAAATATATATGTGTGTGTGTGTGTGTGTGTAGCAAAAATGATTCCTTAGTGTTTGTATACTGTATGCACAAACTGTCATTATCTCTTACTAGAACCACACAAGTTTATGTAGCAAAATCCTATTTTATGTTTTAGTTGCACTTTATTTTGAAAGCAATAGCCGGAAGTGCTATGTGGAGCTGGATAGTGCTGAAAGTACTCAGGCGGCTAGTTGCCTGTCTAGTCTATCCCTGTCAACAATACTGCAACCTGAGACGGGATAGCCAACCAGCCAGTTGGCTAGCTAAGTAAACCAGCTAAGTTAGCTGCTCTGCTAACCAACTGTCACGACTCGTAATTTTTCCCTTAAGTTGGCGGGATACACTGTGTTAGAAGTTGTTTCGACAAGCGTGGAGGGAAAGCTGACTTTATGGTTTGGTAAGTTGTCTGCAGTTGGGATCAAACAGGCAGCGAAACACAGGTTCAGACTGTGTTTCCATTTTGTGAGTCCAGCTTCTTGAGTTGTTAGCTTACTGTTGCTAGCCAGCGAGCTGCTTAAACGTTTGTCTTCCCTCTTGTTTGAAGTCTGTGGGAATTCCCAAACAGCTGAATGCAACACGCTCGTTCAATGCGTCTGCACACTTCTGTTTTTTTCCGTTCTCCTTCTGTACGTTAAATGTGCCTCCCTGCTGTTGGGAGCAAGCCAACTCTTATCTGTCGCTAAACTGGACCGGGCACTGTCGAGGTAATTTAGGTGAGCAGACACGACATGAGGAAGCACTAACACTTGTTGCTGAGATGGAAAACTACCAAACTTAGAAAACTCGTTTATTAGCATTGTTGTTTAGATTTAGTTGTATCATTGTGTGTGTGTGTGTGTGTGTGTAAGTGGTTGGGATGCTTGGTTTTCTGTAGCATCCAGTAGGTCCACCTTAAATCTGGGTTATGGTTTACTGTGATATAAAACTGTGGTTACCTGCTTCACTGTTGTAAGTTGCTTTTAAATGTCAAGATCACCTAAAAAACTGAGCCTACTACATTATGTCCATAATAATACAGCAAAATATCACAGCCAGGCTAAACTCAGTCTAAAGTTTTCTTAGAGAACAGTATCGCATATTTCACTGTTAAAGTCCAGTGAAAGCCTGAGGATTGTGATGTATATTTTATGTGACTTTACCATAGGTGAGAACTAAATTGCGGTAATGCTCATCTTCTTTTAGTTGTTCTGTTGTCTGCGTAAGGAAATTTCCTCTGCATAACTGGCTTAGCCGGGTTATTGACTCATTGTCTTTAAAAAGTTAAAGACAGTAAGTGAGTCAGGGCTAAAACAAAACAACATGCCTCCATACCCTGTGCCCTACTGTACTGCACGTATACTCTGAAATATGTCTCTAACATTCGCAGGATCTCTTCAAAGTTGACTATTTAACATCTTCGGCTTGAAGAAATGCTCTTTTCAATTGTCATGTGAAGCTTGCAGTAATGAGTCGGGCGTAGGATACTCAGTGGTGTGTCTAAACCTATATAAGGCAGACGGCTCCTTAATCCCAGCTGTGCTGCTCGTCCCACCATCACAGTGGATGTTTGGCATTCCATCTCAGCAAAGGTGTTTCCTGCCACTATCTAAAGTGCACATTTTCAGCATTTTCAACAGTCTCTGTTAGTCAAGCGCAAGCCTTCGTGGCTCTGCTTCCTTGTCTGTCCAGTTTTTATGTTTGTATATTGTTTTTTCTTTTTCTTTTATGAATCATGGACTTGCCCACTGAGTATTTGGGACGCACAACGACAGGGGCGATCATGTAAAGACGTGACTGGCACAGAAAAGGACACCAAACAGCAATGTTTATACTTCCAACATTTGCTGATTGAAGGCATTTAGATGCAGTAGTGTGAGGACTGCGTTGGCGATGGCGTGCTTGTACTGATCGAGGACATAATGCAAATATAAGAACGGGAAATAACAAGCATATACGAGAGCAGAGTTGATGACTTTTGTTGTGCAGGTTGTTATATGTCTGGACTTAGGCCACTAGCACTAAATATATATGGGTGTGCCTGTGTTTACTGAAGTCTGTGTCAGTGAAAACATATCATCTATTTGCTGCTTTTTGAAGGCGTGAGAACACCACAGCAACGCATTTGGACCGCCCTGTTGTATCCCTGCTGTGATTTCTCTACCGTAGCCTTCAGCACGACAGTCTTAACTTGTGAACAGCCTGTCTGCTTTGATGACGCAAAGTGTGCATCTCTTAGGCTCCTTCGACTCCTTCGACTCCTTCCTCCCGTGTGATATGACATCACGACTCGGTTACAAGAGAAGCTCGAGCTCTACAGCAGACGGTTGACATCTGGTCAGGTAGGATATTATATTCAGGATTTTGATCAAGCGTGCCATTATTTATATAAAAAGAAAATCCAGTTTCTGCATAGCAGAGTAACTCAGCACAACACATGGAAAGCATTATCAGATGTGGAGAAGGAGTTTCTTAAAGGGCCTTTGTGTTCTTTTCTATCTTCATTATCGCTTTATAACAACAGATAAAGCTGCTTACCAGCATACTGTGTCAGAGATTAGTAAGTTGATCTTTAGTCATCTCAAATTTATCACTAAACCTCTTTTTGACTGAAAAAGCATTTTAAAATAGACATGCAGAAGTTCATTAGGGGTGGAGCTGAATGTTTGATGGATGGTGGTCTGGTGTGAGTTTGCACTGGAATCTCCCATTTACTGTCGAAGAATGATGTGAATGTGTTAAAACCTGAAGCATAAAACAATGACATTGTACAGTTTTCCGGTTCCTCCTTGTGTCAGTTGCCACGTGAAAAGTATGCAGTCCTGATCACCACTACACCAGTATCTCAACTTAGTCACACACATTTTACAAGCTAGTTTGATTGCACTGATAACGACAGCCAAGGAGATAATGCTAATGTCAGTTGTTAGAGTCGACCAACAGGTCAAACAAAGGCAACAATTGTGCAGGTTACAGGTTTTAAGTACAAGTAACATTAAAACATTTAAATCAAAACATTAAGTAGATAAACTAATGTTTAATGTGTCTTAAAATACAATAAAACACATTTAAATAGCCATTGGAAATATGTTGTAACTTTTCTCTGACACGGCTGCTGCTTTTTTCACGTCAGGCATTTTCATATGTCACTGCAGAAAAAGCCCAGGCTCAGTAACATTGCTTTTGGGCTCATGGAAGCGTGAATGTTCAATGCATCATAATCAGAGTTGATGTTATTAGTCCCACCTGTGCTGCTGTGTGCTACGCCATTATTAAATGACCTGTGTCATGTAAATGTACAAGACAAACACTTACCTTTTATTGGTGTCCGCTCTTTTTTAGCACTAAATATGTCCTGCTTTAACCTAACAATCAATAACCTTTGGAAAAATAATATACATTACTGTGCAAAAGTCTTGAGCCACTCATCAGTTCTTTAGATTTTGCTTGCAATGAGTTAGACTTTTTTTTTTTTATTATTGTTTTTAAAGCAGTAGTTTTTGTTGAAGGTATTTCAAAGTTGTTCTTTGGACTTTGGCTGCTTTTTCACTAATTTTCAGTCTAGTGCTTTGTATTTTCCAAAGAATGATTTCCTCAATAAGAGTAACAAAAGCTGCCTGTAACTCATATGAACCAGTTTTGTGTCTTCACATGTCAGACAACTTGGGAACAAACCTGATTTTCAGCATGATTGTGATCCCAAACACACCGCTTCTGCGCTTACACCTTACATGGATAGTGTTCTACTTTGGGTTTTTCTATCAGTCATGCATTGGCCTCCCCAGAGCCCAGACTTCAACATTATTGAAGCAGTGTCAAATCCTCTCGATGGAGAACAGAACAAAATGCAGCCGAAATCCAAAGACGAGCTTTGAATGTCCTTCAAGAAACCTGGAGAAGTGTTTCTGAAGATTTATAAGAAATTACAAGAAAGCTTGAGAGACTTCTGCCTGTGTTTTTTTGTTGTTGGTGTTTTTACATTTCAATAAATGACTTCAATTGTTTTTATAGAAAAATTTAAATAAAGATGGCTCAAGACTTTTGAACAATAAACTTGTGATGTAATATCAGGCACTCCCAAGTTTACAGTAACGGCTAGATTAGGGGATTGTTTAAATCCTTACATTTTTAGATTTTGTGCAGGTACTTTTTTTGTTGAGGATCTCAGTAAGTAATATTAGTTTTTATTTTCTCTGATGGGTTATTTTATCTTTATGCTTAACGAAAGGTGTTGTTCAACAGGATGGCTGCTCAGGTGGAGGTTCAGACTACGGAGGTAGGAAGGACAGTGGCAGGAGGACGACATCTCCTGACTCCCCTGACAGACTCCAGCAATAAGAGCCTCATTGACATCCCGTCTGTCGGTCAGCCGCAGCTCATCGCAGCTGAACCAAACAAGCCTGCCCCAAGCGCCAAGCCGCGACTTACTCCCAAACCTTTTTCTGTGGAGAAAAATCCTACAATTAAGCCCATACTTGCCCCAAAGCCTCAAACTAAACCCCGACCTGAGTCCACTCGCCTTGTTGGATACAAACCAGAGCTTCCAAGCAATCCAAAACCACAGCAGCCGGTTTCCAGCAGCAAACCCAGACCACTTTTAACCAACCCCAACCGTCCTGCCTCTACCTCCTTTCGATCCCCCGCTAAGTTGAACACTGGACAGACAACAAAGCTAGTAGCCCAACCATTTAAACCAGCTCCTCCGCATGACACTGGAGGCCCTAGCAGACCCACCCCTCCTCCTGTGCCAGCACAGAGGCAGAAACCCTCAACATCAAGCTTTAAAAAACTACCAGCAGCAGAGTGGTCTGGAACCACTAAAAAAGAAGACGAAAAAGGCCACAATGCACAAGGTAAAGTTGGAACCTCCCTTACTAGAGCAAAGTCCATGGGCTTTCTTCTTGACGCAGGGCAAGAAAATGAAGGAAAAGAAAAGGCTCAGCCTGAAACATCTGTGCCTCTGCGACCACATCCCAGAGGCTCCAAGCCCAGACCTGTATCAGCCATTTTCCCCGGCAGTGCAACGAAGACGGAGAGCCCGGTTCCTGCTCCTCGCTCGGCTGGGAGACGACCCCTTTCAGCTGATCTCACTTCCAAATTTGGGTCTATTGGTCTTTCACTGCACCGGAAATTTCCTGAAGCAAATACAGTAGACAACACTCCAGAGGGAAAAGCACTACCACAAAGTACTGATGATGTCTGCAATCCTATCCTCTCAGACCAAAGCAACAAAAACAAAGAAGAAATGGCTGCAAAAGAGACCGATGAAGACAAGCGCAGGGTTAGCGTCAAGTCGCGAATAAGTCTTTTGCTCGATTTGCCGTCTTCTCCCGGGTTAGCTGCCGCCGGCCATGGTTCAGATCTTCGTTCTCCATTGCAGCCAACCCCTGAAGGTGAACCAGCAGTCGATGTTAAACAGCTCATCAAGCAGCTGACAGAGGATACAACACCGACTCAGAGCCCTGTCCTTAAACCAGCACTGAAGCCCCGTCCCTTGCCCCTTGACCTAACCAAAAGGTAAGAGCTGCTCATACTGTCCATGTGCTTTGCTTTTTGTTCTGTGTTCCACTGTCATGCATGGCTTTTGTCTTGTGTGATGTATGTTCAATAGGTTTTCAGCCGAGAGGTCACCTGACCCTGTTTCCCTCACTGAGGCAGAGGACCGTCATTACATCAGCAAAGATCCTCAGAAGAGGGTAAGAGAGGGCGTGAGCTTTGTAGGAACTGGTTTCTGTTGGGCTCGGTCTGTGTTTAACAGGCAAATGAGGGTAACAATGAGAAACTGTGTCGCCGTGTGGTGCTTGGAAAGTTTTTCATATGGTGTTGCTCAGCAGAGTTTGATTTTAGTGTGTTTGTTACCATTTCCTGTTTGATTGAAACCCATGCAATATAACATAAAGACGGAGAATACAAAAGAAGCATAGGAGAATGAGCAGTGTGCAAATAGAGGTGAAGCCTCTGACGCAGTTTAAAGTAGGGAGACACAAATTCAACTCATGCTTTAGAGCTATACGTACTCTATAACTGTATACACAACTGGGAAATTCATCTTTATTTACCTGTTGAAAAGCACTTGCATTTCCAGTGGACCAAAGCGCCTCTGCATTCATGAGGAAATCTCTTTCAAAGAAATAGGACATTACAGTAAAATGAATTGCTGCCATAGACATGCAAAGCTGTGAAACCTAATACTGCTGAGACATTAAACAGCCCCAGTGACTGCCAGTTATGAAACGCACAAAGAAGAGATCAAATAGGAAAGGTCAATGCCGAGAGACTTTGATTACCACCTCTGCACCACACCCACTGAGCCCTACGTAGAACAAGAGGATGCCGTTTGTGCCCTGCCAATTGTTCTCTTGAACTTTTCTGTGTGCTGTATTATTGAATGTTCCATTGCCAAGTCCCATTTATTCTGACTTATGGTTTTATAGCAGTAAATGCTACCTAAATTCTAGGGGTGCAACGATACACAAAATTCACGGTTTGATATTTTTTCGATTCAAAAAAAATGTTCATGCCTTTTTAATTTGTCATTTATTAAAATTATAAATATATATTTTCACTCAAAAGTACAGTTTTTAAATTTAATGTTGCTGAAACAACAAAGTAATAAAAAAAATAAATCTATCTGATGGAGAAATCACTCATCTTTGGAAAACAGAGTTTATTACAGAGAAATGGCTCTTTCCAAAATAAAAGCTATACTATACGGTTCTTCTGGGCTATATTCTCAGCAGCATATTAAACATATCAGGTCCCCATAAGGAGAATCATGTGCTAACGGCTGTCTAAATGACTCGGGTAAAGTTTGTAGCATGCGTGCTTGTTGTTTTTGTCTGCTTCCACTTGTCTTTGCACTAGGATGATGTCGGAGTAAATGTGCAGTCATATTCGTTGTGTTCCCACTAGTGCTGTCAGCGTTAATCTGAAATGACGTTAACGCCACAACACGGCAAATCTCCGTTAACGAGCTACCGCGGATCGCCCCGTGCATGGGGCTGGACGGCATCCCCACGTTGCAACGAGCTTAGCTTCTGTCTTGCTAGCTTGCGCTGCGCTCAGTGGATCTGCGCTCGACAGTGCAGCCTAGGCGGAGTAGTCGAACGCAGATCCACTGAGCTCTCAACACAGACAGCATCGTCAGAAGAAAAGTTGATAAAATAAATTAAAAATGTTGTATTGTTCGATACATATGCGTACCGAACCGAAAGCACTGTATCGAACGGTTCAATATCGATACGAGTATCGTTGCACCCCTACTAAATTCATAACTTTTTAAAAAAGCTTTTATTTCCTTCAGAAGATTCCAGCTGAAAGAAATTCTGTAATAGCTTATCAGTTGTGAGCATGCTTCTGCAACTTAAGAATTCTCAGTATATCTCTTAATTTTCCCAGGCTGAAGAATCAGCTATCACTCCCAGTGACCAGAAGACATTTTTGGATTTAAAAGATTCCCAAGAGCAGCTCAAAAAGGTCTCCACGCCTGAAGGGCCTGAAGCAGGACAGACGTTTGTTGCTGTTTCCAAGGAAATTGGTGCAGGCAGTGGAGTCCAAACGGTGCGAGCATCCTTGTTTGATAATGTCGTGGAGAGGCACAGCGTGGTGTTGATGGATGATGGCTCATCTGTTGACACGGCCAAGGATTTGCTCAGCAGCACGCCTCTATTTGATAGAACAGTTACTGAAAATAACGGGGCTTCAGTCACCACTAACTACAGCCAGCCTTTATCGCCATCATGTTTTCAACCCGTATTACATGCCTTTGACACAGTGCAGGCTGTCGAAAAGAGTCGGGCAGTGAGTGTGAGCGTCCCATCAGCTCAGTGGGAGGATAAGGCCATGACCCTCCGTTCCAGACGCTCAGAAGGGAGCAGGCCTCTTCCAGAATGGACCAGTCCTGCACAAGAACAGGCACCTTTGATGCCTCAAACACAGCCACGATATCTGAGGATAGGAGCCTTACAGAAGTGGACCACTTCAGGTCTCGACCAAGACGTAGATATGGAGACAGGGATGCTAAAGGAATCACAAAGGGAAGGACAAGTGGCTTTAGATAAAGACAAGGAGAGACAAAGAGTGGCAGAACAGGAAGAAGTGTCTGCAGCACCTAAACGCTTGAAGATGCTGCAGGCAGACGAAATGGCAAAACCCAAGGCAACCTACTTTGCTTTAACCGGACAAATACAGGAGCCAGTTTCTCTTGGGGGTGCAGGGACAAACGCCGGGGACATGACTAGCCCCTTTGATGACTTATTAGGGATTTCTCTCCTTAGTGGCCCTCAAGGGAAGAGTCTTCCAGTAAGGGGGAGCCCATCTTTAAATGATGATCCTTTTGGAAAAACAACTCTATCGCAAGAGCAAGTTAAAGATTTGATGATGAGAAGCCACAAGTCACCCAGGGAGAGCAGTTTAGCCTCAGATGGACAGAGTAAAGAGGAAAGGCTAGAAGCTGAAAAGAAAAGGGAGCAAAGGAAGGAGAAAGAAAGGCACAAGACTAAGATAAAAGAAATTGAAAGTGAAAAACAGACACAGCTGGAAATGGAGAAACAAGCACATTTAGAATTTACACGAATGAAAGAGTGGGAGATGCAAAGAGAATTTGAAAGGCAAAGACATAAGTCATTTGAAAAGGAGAAACAAGAATTTGAGGAGAAACAACGTGCCCTGGAAAGGCAGAAACAGATTGCGCTTGAGAAAGCACAAGAATTAGAGGAGAAACAGAGACTTGAAAGAGAGAAGCAAAGGAAACTTGAGAAAGAAAAAAGGCGAGAACTAGAGAGACAAAAGGAGAGACAGCGTGAAAAGGATCAGCAAAAACAAAAGGAGGAAGAGCGGCTAAAACAGTTGGAGCGACAGCAGCTCTTAGAGCTTCAAAGACAGAAGCAGAAAGAAAAGGAAATGCAGCAGCTAAAAGAAAAAAAGGAAAAAGAAGAGGCAGACAAGATGAGACAGATCGCATTAGAGCAAGAAA